GAACATGGATACAGTGTTATGACCATAGACTATACCGTGTACTTGTGTGTGGTGGGGGGTGGTAAGAGTTATCGTGCATTTATCGTTATCGAGGTAAACTGGTCAATATATCGCAATATTGATTTTAGGCCATATCGCCCAGCTCTAAGAATTGCTGTAATTCAATGGTGTCCAAAGTTGGTCCTCAAGGGCCGGTGTCCTGTATGTTTTAGGTGGGTGTCCTTTATGTTTTAGGTGCTGCCCTGGTTCAACACAGCTGAACCTAAAGAGTGCTTAATTAATGGGCCTCTGCAGACCTTGATGGCAAACTGAAAAGTTAAATCTTCTATTAGAACCAGTTGTGTTGAAGCAGGGACAAACCTAAAACTTGCAGGAGACCRGCCCTCGAGCACCGGAGTTGGACATGCCTGCTGTAACCGGTCCACTGAACCACTGCAAAGCAGGAAAATACCATTAGATCCTCTTTCAAGAAGAGCGGGTTGATTCTGCATCACCTGCTGGAGCATCAGCAACACACCCAAAAGAGAGTCCACCACGGAGAGTCAGCCAGAAGAAATGTGCCACTCATGGCCTTATTTAAAAGACTCAAACTGGTTAAAAAAAACAAGATTTGGTCGAGGACAGCTTCTGCAGCTGTTGTCACAATGTCTGATGATGCACAGAAGTCCAAGTGTGAACAGTGTCACAGAGGGTAAACGCAAAACATGCATTATCTGCAGCATTGTTCACCAAAATAGCACACCATTGATGTTTTCGAAATATACATACAGTAGGCACACTTCATGATATTGAAGACCATTAGGAATACATTAAACAAGTACTTTTAATTTTAATACTTTAAGTACTTTAAAAAGTTTACTCAAGTAAAAATGTTAATGTGGTACTTTTACTAGAGTACATATTTGTTTGTTTATCTGTACTTTTACAGTGTTTGAGTACTTTCTCCACCACTGGTATTAATCAATCTTTTTTCTCCTGGTCCTTATTTCAAATAGGTAAAACAAAAAACGAATCAATATTTAACAGTATCGACTGATATGAAACACTTATGTTGTGATACATTTTTCAGCGATAGCAGCCAGCCCTGGTTTATTCACTGGTGTTCAGTTTGTGGAGGGGTAGATGGATACAATTGATAGGATCCTTTTACCAAGACTGCAACACAGCACATCAGTGTGCATTTGACTGCAGAAAAAATTGTTTTTATTTGTAAATTGAGTGATGGACATTACAGGTAGAAACACATGAACAGAATAATTTAGACAGAAAAAAAATCCCATTAAATTCCTTCTGCTTGCTTTAAACAGCGAGGTGGTGTTTAGTGAAGTACCAGTAGTTTAATGTTTATGTTTGAAATGTCTGTCTAATACAGATAATCAAATCTGGACAATCTGAAGGTAGTACTTTCAGCCTCTGTGTTATCTAGTAGTATTCAACCTATTATAAAAAATATCATTCAGCGAAATAAATTAAGACACACAACAAACATGCACACGTCCCCTACAACACATTCAGCTACACCTCGTATTTTCATATTCTACCATACTTACTGATTATGCCACAGACAGTAAGAGTAATGGCATGTAATGAGTTTCTGTATGAGGTACACTGAAAGCTAAATGAACTGTCAATTTTTATTATTTATTATTCAGTACTTAAAGTTTTGCCTCATTAAAGAGCAGCCCCCCTGGGCTGCAGAATTGTTCAAAATCTACTTTCATCTGTGGATGTCTTTTACCCCCCATCAGCTTACAATGATGCTGCTACTGCCACAGGCACAATTTACACTCCATGTTTTATTTTTTGTCCATTTTTATTACTTGTGGTTGCTTTTTAATCATTATGTAGCATAGGATAGCAGCGTGATTAGGCAAAAAGAGGCAGATGTCTGATATTAGACAGAGATAGAAAAGGCATCGACACTTCAGCTACCCTCAGTAGAGATCCAGCTGACATTTTTAACGTCCATAAGATGTTTTCCCCCACTGTACACTCTGCACTTTGTGTATTTTTTACAGTACAGTTCTGAAAAATTTCCAAATTGTTGTGGTTTGTTGTAATCACATTTTGTGTTACTTAGCCTTGTAAAAACAGCCTTTGCTTCATACAGAGAGTCTGGACTCTTGGCTGTTGAGAAATGATTTCTCGCTGGAGGCGTGGCCTCTGTTAAAGTTTATAATGATTGGATCTGATTTTCCCAACTGCTAACGTTTAGCCGTGCTGTGTGTAGAGCACCGGCTCGTCCGTGTAGGAAGCTAAGCTAAGAAGCTAACCAGAAGTTGCGTGCGCTGTAAACAACCATCCACAACTGGGAAGAGGGAAGAACCGAGCTGAACGAGAAGGCTGTAACGGAGTGCTGCAGGATTTGTGAGACAAATTAAATTTAATTTAATTTGGAAGCCTTGTCAACACAGACTGAAGGGATTCATTCACTTCCTCCACAGCCATTGTTAAACTACAGGCAGACTAAAATGACAGAAAATCAACATCTTCGTTCACAACTTCTCCTTCTGTTCGCTGATTGGCCCAGTTGAAATTCTACCAGAGAAATTCTTGTCTATGGGAGGAATCCCAGACAGAGGAGGGAAACTGGAATTGAGCTGAACTGTGTAGGAAGGCAAGGACCAGGCTAGTTTTGTGTGTACCTTTAGCCAAAATGGCAATTCATTATTAAATTAGGGTTGGGCCATCTTGACATAAAAATTTATCATGATTAATTATGGCATTTATCCAATAACTATAAATATGACAATTAATAGATGACAGTTGCACATGCATGTAGCTAACAGTGTTGCCTTGGTTCACATTTTCTGACTTTCTTCGTACTTCGGTTTATGTCTGTGCTTCAGGTGAGTAAAAAAGTTTGAAGGGTTAGCGTTAACTGCTCCACGCTGCCTTCTGCAATTAGACTCACATGCATGTCTCATAGTGTATATATATA